TGATGTGAGGACCCCATATTGTTTTTTGTTTTTTATTTGTGTAGGGTAATAGTCTGGTATATATTTTGATGGGGACGAACCACGTGTCATTTTTTACTTTTATTTTAGACTGGGGTATTGAGATTTTCATATTTTAAAAGGGTGCCATGACTGAAAATGGCTAGGAAATGCTTTTCCCTTTACCTTTCTGCAGGGGTTAAAGGATGACTGTACTTTTTAGTACTGTGTTAGGTGCTTAAAGACTGGAGAGGTGCACCCCTGCTCAATGCATCCAAAGCTTATAGAACTTTTAGGACTGCAGTACTCTGTGCAAATTTAGGACTTCTGTTGACAGGCTCTTATTTGCTGTGTTTTGCATTCTCATACAAGTCTATAAGACAGCAAAACCTGCTTAAAACAGGTCAAGGAATTTTAATGATCTCAGAAATGTCTTAAACTGATGTCAAACTGACCACATAGATACAAGCCCATCGACAGAGGCCCTTACCTTTGCGTCTTCTATCAAAGCTGAAAGCAACAAACACTGCAACGTCTATTTCCAAAATCTAAGCAACATTCTGCACAGAAATGAACATGTCAAGCCAAAGGGTACAAAATTAATTATTTTTCTATAGTTTGTAATATTTTGAAATGCGATGAAAAAATAATTGAAATATTACAGGTAACTGAATATCTAAATGCAATAGTTTACATGAGAGGGAACTTTGGAAGAGATTTCTTTGACTCTACACATGATGCACATGACTTACAGGGCTAACATTGTGCTTTAAAGAGTTTATTAAACTGAACCTAATTATTCCCTCATCACATAGCTCGCACCTGTGTATTTTACACCATGGTGTAACTACACAAACCAACACAGAAAACAAACACATTATGACAGTGAAAAAAGGAGAAAGGACAAGGAAAGCTTTTGAAATGGGGACAACCAGTCAGGAAGTACAAGGGTGCATGCGGAAAAGCAAGCAAGCTGGCAATGAAGAGTCACATAAAGACAGTAGCGACAAAAACAGCCAATTCAGATCAGGACTCCTGGTTAAAGCTGAAATCAAAGAACAAATTACACACTACACAATAAGAGAAACAGGAAAATACCAAACAATGGAAACCCCTTGGCAGCTGGAACAGCCACTAGTGTCCAATATATAGTAAACATCTACAAATTCACTATGTTAAATTGTTGTAGCTTTCCAGCGGGAAAGGGGCTTGGATTAGTGACCTCTTGTATTATAATAGATATATATAGCCTCTATTTGAATGTTGTCATTGTTCCACACAGGGTTTCACAAGGACAGAGTTATAGAAGGAAGAGGAAGCCCAAAGAAGCTTCTAGTGCATGCAGAACTGGGAGGATCCATACCTTGGCCCATTCTATTCGTCCTTGTTGCAATTTAGAGAGAGAAGTAATCTATGTGAGTCATTTGAAAGGGTTTTGACACAAGTTTATTCCCTTTATCTAAGCTGACATGTGGGTAAATATTTTTGTCTGTTCAATTTGTTTTACATAGATCCTTCATTCTAGCCTTCTGCTATCTCTGGTTTTGTGGTTTTGCAACACACTACTTAAAACACTCTAGATTGCTTTGCAAAAGTATACGGATTAGCCAGATTGCTTTCAGCAAAAAAAAGTGCAGTTGGGGAAATTAATGTTTGTGACAGTACATCTCCAATGGACTTCCCTTTAGTCCACAAGTCTATTCAGTATGCCATCATTACGAATGCTCTTCTACAGCGGTAGTCAAAAACTAGATAATTCATTAATTATACATCATTCATTTAAAGTAATTGAAATCTGAATATCTTTAGTATGTACCCATTGCTCTCTATCTAAAGCTTATGACAAATGCCTCTCCTGTGAGCTGTTTGCTCACACATCAAAATATATATATGGGCAAAGTGAAAGGCTCTCTTTAACTTGTTGCTGATATAAAGCACTTCATACTATATACTGTGAGGACACATCACTGAACCTCAATTTTAACGCTGAATGGTCACAAACTGACTAGGCTACCTATGATAAAGTGCATCATAGCTCAATTCTTCAAGTGCTTCTAACAGGTCATGTTTTCTTTGTCTGGTATAGGTGATTTAATATATTATCTCTGGACCAGTAAATACCACAGTTATTTCCAGTGAGCCAAAAAATATTACTTTTTAGGGGTTCTATGACTGGAGGTGTCACAGTTACACTTAAGTTACATCCAATATTTGACCCAGGATGTTAAGCAAGAAGGCTCAAATCCTTGAGGGGCTGTTTATAGACAATCCCTTTAAAGTAAGTCTGCAAGAACTGAGATTGCTTTTCACTGAAGGTCACAGAACTTTCATTTAGGGAAAATACCTATTTGTAATGATTCAGTATGGAATATTACCATGGCTAGCAAAGTTAGACACATGAATGGTAAACAACATCATTTTATTACACCATACTTTGACAGTAAAGACCTTTTTTCCCCCCTTAGATTGGATATAATCCTAAAAAGTGTAAATATTTCTACTTTTATTTTTAAAAGCTACTGAGGGAACATAAGCAAAATGTATGCAGGTTAACCAGAACAGCGTAGAGAAGCTAAATCTGTATTACACATTGACATGCAAAAAGGCACTGCCTGGCTTTGTTATGGAGAACCTGGCACTACAATTTTCTTCCATACCTACCCTTTCTTCCATACCCTTTCTGTATGTTATAAATTTAGAAAGGGTTTTAATAGCAATTAATCAACATTCACATTTCACATGAGATAAACCAATATCTAACATTATCATTCTATCAGCAGACTGATGGCACTGATATAGTGATGGGAGAACCTGTATCCTGTACTTCCAAGGAAAGCTTAAGTGGGTGTAAAAAATAAATATGATTCCATGTCAACAAAACCTCTAGCTAATCTTGCCTATTTTCTTCTAAAATACCAAGCTCATGTGTCAGTGTCTTAGAAAGCAAGAGCTGCATGGAGGGCATAATGAGACAGTGAGATCACTGTAAATCCGTCATTATTACAATGTGATGGAATAATATACAGTTATTTGTTCCATAGCACAACGATGCAGCTCTTTACTCTGTAACTGAAAATATATGCTAGGTATATAGTCCATTATCCAGCACAATTCTCTGGGCCAGTGTGTCACTCTGTCTTAAGTGATGAGCATTGCTAATACAGTCATTAACTTTTATTATGGACTAGTCACTTTTACACAAGTGCCAAGGCCAAAAACCACTTGGAGGACAAATTACTGAACTAATTTGTAAATTGAATGTAGCAGAATTCATGCAAGAAGATGAGATTTCATTCATCATTTCATCTTTTACTTTTTATGCCAAATTAAACTCCAAAGTATTTTAATATTCACACTTATTTTATGTTTTTTAAATTAATAATCTGGCCATTGTCTGGGGGAAAAAACTACTTTTTATAAAGACCTGAAAATGCCAACTGTATGCATCTTTGTGGATAATTCACAACATATTGAGAGTATTTGTTCTATCCTCTGAAACATCTCCATAATTACATGCAGAGAAACTGACACCCTTTTAAAAAGATTTACACTAGATACGTTGTTGGCATTGCTCCTTAAAAGAGGTTTGTTACCTCACATTCCACACTGCAATGCTCACACTGTATTAAACAATAGAGTGGAGAGAATATTCCTGGGGACAGAGTAGGACACCAGAGCTCCGTGCTGTCTCTGTTTGCACACTGAGCATTCCCAGGTTCAGGGCTCTTAGCTTACTCAAGTTTAAGAAGAAACATTTTATATATTATATGCATGTTACTTGAACTAATGATTATTATTTTCAGCCATGCATCTTTTTTTTTTTTATAAGGGTTCCTCTGCATAACATTTCATTGAGGGATTATAAATCCCGTGAAATAAAAGGCTACAATTATTTTCTCACAGTATCCCTTATTGTAAAATGTCTACAAATGTGTGCCATGGCACCAGAAACCATAAGCCTACAGGCCAAGGAAATCTGTACATGTTAATAAGTGGTTTCCTTCTAAATAACTGCTTGTGAGACACATAGGTAACTGACATGACTTACATTGTTTATCACGCTGT